TTAAAAGAGATGTTACAGTTAACTAGGTCTGTTTGTATGTTGAATTGCACAAAAGCATTGTCAAATAAGAAAAGGTGCTTATACTCCCCCAGGTTATCATTGTATGGACAAATGTTATAAATATTTTAGATCAAGCATGGTGGATCACCCCTGTAATGCCAGCACTTTGGGAGATCAAGGCCACCTGAGGTCAGGAGTTTGAGACCAACCTGGCCAATATGGCAAAATCCTGTCTCTACTAAAAATACAAAAATTAGCCAAGCATGGTGGCACATGCCTGTAGTCCCAGCTACTTGGGAGGCTGAAGCATGAGAATCACTTGAATCCAGAAGACAGAGGTTATAGTGAGCTGAGATGAGGCCACTGCACTCCATCCTGGGTGACAGAGCAAGACTCCATCTCAAAAATAAATAGTAAATAAATAAAAGGGAGGGAGGCAGAAAGGATTTTAACAGAGTGGGAGTATCTAAAAGACTTGTAGAAAGGACTATGACTAGTATTACAGGGTACAGGCTCTGAAGGCATTGCTTAAATAACTTGGAAGCCATATTACTGGACTGCATGAGGATTTCCACAATTTTAGTAGAGAAGATGATGAGTTCATCAAACCACTAATCCAAGGTAGAGCATAATAGGAAGTAATTTCATGGGATTGGATGAATTTATAAAGAATGCTTACAATTTATTATGGCTTTTTCATTGGAAACTGGTTGGTTGTTTAATGTCAATGTTCTGGTTATGAGGAAACTGTTTCTCTTTTCTCTTAAATTATTTCTAATAATTAACAATTAGTAAATTATATATTTGTAAACAGAAATGCAACATTTATTTTTCTCCCTGTCTGTTCTCTCCAGAATTTTAAAATTCTTACTGAGTGATCTCATTTTTATTGCAATATAATTATTTTCATAAAGTAAATAAGAATAAGTTCCACTTGTAAAAAGACATAATTGGAAATGTTGATTACATAACCAAGGCATTGACTGCAATGTCATATTTGAGAAAGATGTGCATAGCGTCCGATATGACCAGACAGTTTTAACAAACTAAGGTTGATGTCATGGAGCCAGTCCTTACAAAGCTTCCTTGGATAATCCAGCCTGGCTTCTGGCTTACAGAGTTTCCAGCCTCTTGGCAGGCCTTTGAACCTTCAAATATTTGAGAGATCTCAAAAGGAGAGGTCTTCTTCTAGATCTAAAGGTTAAATCTGGCAGGTTAAATCTGGTGGTGTATTCTGGGCTTGGATTTCTATCCTGGAGGAGATTTTGAAAGTTTAATCAGAGATTTCCTTGTGAAAAGTTCCAGCAATGCAGACTCAAAAAGACTTATGTGGTCAATTACAATTTTTGTTACCATGATGTAATTAATCAAGCCAAATCTAGTAAGTCCAGACTTATTAACTAAAGAAGAATCAAAATGACTGGGAAAACATAAAGAGGGAAACTTTATGATTCGATGGAAAACTGTAACAAATCTTTGTATGTTATTAGATTTGAGTCCTATTAAATTGTCTTTGAGGTTTTATTACTGACCTGCAAACTGTACTGGATCTTTCAATCTTCCATACTTAATTTGTTCTTATAAACTTGTCAATTCTTCTAATTTTCTCTAACATCTGGCTACAGCCCTCAAAACTAATATTTTATTTTTTTCCTCCGCTTTCCTGACTTAGAGTCCTAAGAATCAAAATCTTACTGCTCAGATTAAGACTATCTAAAAAAGCCCTGCTAGCAAAATCTGGATGTTTCTATGCTCTGCTCTAGGGAAATAACCATGACTGTGACACTGATGTTTATAACACCACCAGAGACATTCATACTGCGGACCAGAAAACCTATCAGATGGTTCCTGCTGTCCTCATTTTATCATCTAAAGATCTAAAGATGCTTTAATCCCAATATTTAGAAGCGTTTACCCAACATCAAGAAATCTTCTAGACTGGCTGTTCTCTGGACTCGGACACTGGGATTCCAGTCTGCTCCAACTATTAATCATTGTTATTTTATTTTCATATAACTTTTCTCATTTAAATGCCTGATGGCTTGTACCAGCAACTGCCACCTCCCAATAGATGATTTAGTAACTAAACTTTCATTGGTCCCTAATGAAGCAAAGGTGACCAAAAGAATAATGAAATTATATCCCTGAACTCTTCTTTTTATATCCTTGTACTCTTCCATTAACAAGAGGAAGGCTGACAAAGATTCTCTCCCTGACCAAACCTTAAATAGGCTTCTCTGAGCCAAGCCATCTTTTCAACTTAGCCTCATCACTGGGCCCTGTCTTCAACCTGCTCAGTGTGGTTGTAGCAAGAATTTTGCTAAGTTAGTCTAGAGATGTTAAATTAAGTTTGGCCTAAAGCTAACTCCTTAAATATTTTAAGTTTGGCCTAAATGTTTCTCTGTGCACAATGAACTACAACCTAACTTTTATAAATACACCGTAACCCTCCCTTGTAAAAACTAGCTAAGTCTCAGCCAGTCACAACAGCTGAACTTCACTCAAGCACAGCCAGACAACTGTTCAAACCAGATTGAAACACGTTAATGCCCAGCTGTACCCAATCCAGCTGCTTCTGGAGCTCACTTCCATTTTCTTTACATCACTTTCCTTTTTCTGTCCATAAATGTTATATGACCATGTGGCTATACTGGAGTTTGTCTGAACCTATTCTGATTATAAAGGGTTTCCTGATTTGTAAATTTTTCTTTGGTTTTTCTTTTTACAGAGACAGTCCTCTACCTTTTCTATCTTATCAATCTGACCTGTTAAATCAGTGTAGCAAGAATAATCTCTACTCTTGATGTCTTCTTAATATTTTTTCATCTACTGACCACTTCTTTCTGTTCTGTGACTATAAGTTCCCAAATAATTTTACTGTGTTAGTAGTTGAGCCTGATCCCTCTTTGCTATAAGGATAATCAAGACAGCTAATACGATAGTCCTGAACATAGTCTTCCTTATCATTTTAACAAGTGACAAAATAATTTTTCTTTAACAATTGAAAAAAAAGTATATCATAGAGTTGTCTACTGGATTTTCAAGATGAATGAAGAAAATGTGATTTTGAATGAGCTCACACTGAACATATTGTATTAAATAATTGTGTGTACTAATCAATGCTACATGCAAACAAGGAACACATTTGCCAAATAAACCACATGGTTTCCAATTTAAGTATTTTCCTAGAACTAGAAAATTGTCACAGATGCATTCTGATGACAACCTAAAAAATCAGTCAAGAGCAAGAGTTAGGATTGAACCAAATCATGGAGGAGAAAAAGTCAGTTGCCAGACTTCACACTCTGCTTAGTGTCAGAATATTTCTTCTTGGTATTAATCAAAACCTTGGTTTTGACAAAGAGATATCCATGAAATTTATGCAAAGGGCTTTTTAAAGTTAAGCTGTCCTAACTTATTTTCCACAAAGTTTACTTGAGTTTTTTTTTTTTTTCTTCATTAACTCAGGCACTCATTCCTTATAATATTTTAAATTATTGCTAGCTCATGAATTTGAAGTTCCCCTAAAATACTGTCTTTAAAATTACATGACAGTTAACATACTTGTCCCCTTTTGTGCTAAATCTGTAAGAGACTAGACAGCATATTTTAACATAAACCATTCATATGTGTTTATTCAAGACAGGAAAATGCAATTCTCATGGACATGTTGCTACCCTTAGTAGTTATTTCTGAACAAAAACTTAAGTTTTTGGATGAGACTTTCATTT